TTTTGGTTTTAATATATTTTCAAAAATTGTTCAAAAATTACAAAACCGCAAGCAAACTGTAAAACCCAGCCTATTGATTGGTATAGGTTATAACTTCATTAATTTTCGCGTTCTATAATTGTATAAGAATGAAACTATGAGACTGGTATACATGCTGTATAAGACATCAATACTTTTTAACAAAAAATATATGGTTTCATTACAACAAACTTAACATAGAAACGAGATAACATAATTTTTCAAGATCAACGCTTTATTTGCATCTAAAATTATGTAAAAATGGGATAGATATCTCACGATTTCGTGATTAAGCTCTACGGAATGTCCATCTGGTTGGTTTTATGACTTCCTACGACATGAAATATTTCCTTCAGACAACATCAATTTTGAAGTCTGGTCACGAGCGGTCCAGCCTCCGTGGCCCACCTAATTTAATTTAGACAATCTACCGTTCCACCGTTGGTCGCGTCTTATATGTTTTCTTGGAACTCGTAAAAGCTTCGTGGACGCATCGCTGTACATATAGGTACCTTATTACTACTTTCTACATAATGACGCTCACTCAATATATTTATTTCGGGAACTAATATAATTAATAGATATAAATAAATAAACATTTGATTGTAAACGTACTTTTCTTCATATCGTCGTGATATAAAGAAGTACATAAATATAGACTATAGCATTGCCCGCGGCTCCGCCCGCGTTTAGGTGACTAAAAAGCAAAAATTAGGTTTTACATATTAGTATATGTAAGAGACATTCAGTTTTTGTATTTTTTTTCAGAAATGAGATATTTTCCCGCGGTAAAAAGTATCCTATATGTTGACCCGGATAACCAGCTAGCACCATACCAAATTTCATCAAAATCCCTCCACTGGTTTTTCTGTGATGCAGTAACAGACAGACAGACAAAAATTCTAAAAACTTTAGATTCGGTCTCTGTTTCGTTAATATTGCCTATTACAATTTTTCTAAAAAATATTTAATGTACAGATTTGGCTTAGCTACAATTTTATTATATGTACCTATAGATTTATTAAAACCTCAGCTTATCGTACAAGATTTACCCAAGTAAGTAAATAAAATACTTAACAGAAAAGCGGTTACCAAAACGAGAAATATGTTTTATTCATAGTTGTTCTTTAAGTACATTCACTTTCATGTCATAGCAAATGTTAGCTGCTTCTTACAAATATAACTAATCATATGTATCACATTTATCGATATCCAGCATCTTTCAACAGGAATCTTAACATTTTAAGAATAATGACGATTGTTGTTCTGCAAACTGGCTATTTAACTAGAAGTCAAGTTTGATTAATGTACTGTATGAAGTAATTATTATATTATATGAAAGTATCATATGAAGAATAATTGTCTACGTATGCTTTAGATTTGATATTGACGTAGGACTCTTATCTCCCAAAATTATACTTACGCTAGCGACTTACCCTCGCTTCAGTCGGGTGCGTTTTTATTCTTTTGAGCGGAACTCTAATTCATTTTCTAAAATAAAAGTATCCTAAGTTAAATCTTATAATATCAGCTATCTGCCAGTGAAAGTCCCGTCAAAAACAGTCCAGCCGTTTTGGAGATTAGCCGGAACAAACAGAGAGAAAGACAGACAATTTCTTTATAAATTGTATTATTATAATTTGTTCCGTGGGTACATACTTTCATATGCATAAAGTAAAAACTTGCTATTTTGACATTATAAACATACCAACACTTCAATTTGTATAAATTATTGAAGATCATTAAATTACTCGAGTGCAATTAAGTGTATACCTCGAAACTGCCTCGGTGGTGTAGTGGCTAGCATGTACGGCTGCACATCCGGAGGTCCTGGGTTCGAGTCCCGGGTCGGGCCAAGTTTAGTTATTGAGTCTTTCTGTATGGTAAGTCTCAGTAACCACCCGGAGTTGGGAAGTTGGCGGTGTTCCACCCCCGTGCCTCGGAGAGCACGTAAAGCCGTCGGTCCTGCGCCTTAACTCTCACCGGTCGTGTCGAGTGGTCGTCCCACCGGAGTATGAGAGTGATAGGAATAGAGAGTGCACGTTGTGTCTGCGCGTACACTTGTGCACTATAATATCTCCTGCGCAGTTGGCTAATCTCAATGAGATTGGCCGCCGTAGCCGGAATCGGCTAGGAGAACATCATCATCACCTCGAAACCCAGGTATAATGAATAAATTTGGCTGATTTTGGATTATTAGAATTTCTTATACTAAAAACTAAAAAGTTTACCTTTTGAAAGATTCCGTTAATGTTTTGACGATCGTCAAAACAATGTACTAGAAAAAATTTTTTTGAGTGAACTGCGCACATCTAGATACTGTTATATATATATATATATATATATATATACATATATATATACATATATTATAGTTTTTCTTTAGTAGTATTACGGATAAAATTTGCGTAATATTTTACAACTTAATTTATTTACACACGAAACGTTAATTAAAAAAGTTCAAATTTACGCCACCAATGGCAAAACGATAGAAGACAATTATTTAACTAAAGCACTCACGGAAAATACAAAAAGGAACTTTTGTGATGATATAAATCAACAGAGCTTGTTCTACGACTGCGGTTAAACGCCACTCCATTTCCATATCATTAGATGAGTGCATTCTAATTGGACCCGCTCTCTTTTTAATTAGTTACAAGGCACAAGCATACGTACGTATTTAGTACTATTTCTCTCACACTTACAATTTTATGTGACTTAGTTAATCAATAAAATTAGGTTAAATTATGTACTTTGAACAATTTAATCGATAAACACTTCGTATATAGAGAAAGGTTGATTTAAATCCTGTTTCTTAATTAAATCAGAACATTTATGTTATAATTTTTATTGAAAACACATAAAAAAGGACAAATATAAAGTCTAAATTATAAAAAAAATGCCTTACCCAGACACAAGTGGAATAAGTTAGGCGTGAGTGCAAGCAATGCAGTGTTGAATAGAAAGCTTATTAATATCGTCCAGCGGTCAAAAGTTAATCGGGTTTAAGTCGCTCGCATCGCCCACGAAGATCCATCACAATCGTCATTATTCACACACAAATTATGTAATTTCAATAAATGGAACTTATTGAATAGTGATGAGCGTCGGTAGGCCGCCGCGGGACCCCTGCCGAGACCCTCTCAACCCACCATCGCGTACCCCATTTAAAATCTCTAAGTGCAGTTAAAAAGCTTTATACATTACCTATTATCTTACAGCTTTTTAAGCAGAGTTAAGTTACTACGCAATGTAGAGTTGTTTGAAGTTTATTTTTGTATATATCTGGCGGTACAGGATAATATTCCAATAAGCACTTAGATCCTCATTGTCTAAAATGAATTTATTTTGTTTGAATATTATTGAGCAGCTCGATGGAGGTCGCGACGGGTGTTAATGAATCGTATCGTAATGACATAGAAAAATCATGTATTTTTAAGTAGAAGCAATTTGAAGAGGTAACACGTTTAACTGTATTGATATATTATGTATGTATATAACTAATGGGAAGTAAATTACTAAGCTTAATATTTTTGCTACTTTATCTAACTTTAATCTTGATTTTGTAAACCACAAATTTTATACCACAATATGAGATTTGTAAGAATTAAGTAGGGTCTTATAGTTGTAGAAACAATCAGAAAACCTTGAGTGTAGAAATCGTTTATGAATTGTAAGTGAATGTAAGCACGTATTGTACCAACATAGTATGGACCTTTGTAGATAATTTATCATTACCTTAAAGAAAGGCACAATGATAGAGCGTTAAGCGGACTCGCCACACGTTCGTAATTGATTTATAGGCAAATATTAAATCTGTTCTCACCAGGCTCCATCGTGAGTAATGACCGTGCCCAATGCTGAGTGTCAAGGTTTTGTACCGAGACTTGTGAGCTTTGATTGACAGCGTATTTTGTATGTTTATAATGAATTCAACAATACAATACTAAAAAAATAATTAAACATAAACGGAATTTCCCGACTAATTTACCTCCTTATCGATCATGTGTGTAGGGTGAATGTAAAATGTCACAAAACGTCCAAATGAAACAGCATCACACTTATCAAAACAATACAAAATGCGGGATGTTATCGATAATGATCACGGGCACGACAACGTTCTAAGACCATTTTTTGTGGGTTGACATCGCGCTAATAATACTCATGAGAAAAATGTGCGCTGGACCCCCGTCATCTTCCTTTTGTTTTTAATTTCTACCTCAGTGGCACCGATTTAATTGGGCTCAAGTCGAGCGAGCGCACCTTCGTATTTCACCTCGGCTCGCTTCATTTGAATATTTAAAGCATTTCGGGTTACCGTCGCATTATTTTGTTTATTTACACAAATACAATATTATATATTTATTTCAGGGCTAGTAGCATCATTTATTAGGTGACGTGGCTTACCGATGTCGCATCCTTCCCAGTATCGGCATAGTTAACGCGCAGGATTCACTCGCGTTCCATTTAAAAGTTTGAGGTAGTTTGTTTGAATTTACTTTTTGTCCGGCCGCGTCGCAGACGCGTGTGGCGAGTTGCGCTCTTCGTTGTTTTCTCGCCAGCGCTTATCTTCGACAAGATTGCTCGTTTATAAATGAAGTTATATCGTTCCAATTGAACACAAGGCTACGAAGGTGATGCGAATTTTTAATTAGTTTCCGAAGATAGAGAATTTTAAGGAGGAATGCGGGAGTCGTGTTAAGAGTGTTTGCGGATTTCTTAATTGAAACGTCAACGGCGCAATTGTAGTGAGTTCGAAAGTCGATTTGTTAATTATGAAACCGTTTATATGAGCTCATCAGTCGCAGAGACTTTATAAGAAATGTAAATAAATAACAAAATTCATTTAACTGTAATGTTATAATGGTAATTTTTATAACATAACACATTTAAACATATGACTACCTATTTAAATTAATACACCTTTTTGTGTGTGAAAAAATCTTAAATACGATAATAAACAAGAATTATAAATAACATTACTGAGCGGGAACAAGTGCCACTACATTGAAGCCGATGTTGTCCGGTTCGCGAGCAATAAACTCACGGCAGATCTTCGCCGCGTCTTCTAAAAAATTATCTACTGTCGTAGTACCGTGGTTTATAGGCAAGGATTTACGCCCATCTAACTCGTAGAGATAACCATCTTTATGTATAAATGTCACGAAGTGATTGCCAACTGTCTCATTATCTTCTAGTCTCACGTCCCCTTCAGCAGCAATAACGTCCTTGTAAGCTTCAAAAATATTGGCCGAATTTTCTAAAAGCGCACCCTTTGCAGCGGCATCTAGTTCTTTTGCATCATATAAGTATTTTTTGAGCAGACCATCTTCTAAGGCAATATGATTAGTATTATTAGCGATGCTGTGCACTAAAGCAATGGTTCCACAGGCGTTACTAATAACTTGTTTCAAATGAAAAATGTCTTTCGGGGCTTTATGTCCTTTTTGAGATAAATCATTTTCTTGTTCTGATCGATATTGTTCATAATTTTCAGATAGCGGAAATAGAAGTATTACGGCCAGAACCGGTCGCGGTACCCAGTTTAAAGCGTCTCCTTCCAGATCAATAACATCAACCATTTGCCATTTGTTAGGAACTCCAAGTTTATGAAGATACTTATTTATCGTCTCAGGATTAGACTCCATAGGGAAAAAATTAGTCATGATATATTTTTAATTTATTTAAGAAGAATTTAAGTATAAATTAAAATGTATGATTACTTTTACTTTATTTCTTTAGTACCTATGTTTTATGTTTGAGTTATTTTTTTCAATTTGACGTTCCTATTTCTATCATTAAATAGACCAACAAACCTCTATGCATCGCAATATTTTTTAATTCCTATCCATACTAATATTATAAATGTGAAAGTGTGTTTGTTTGTCTGTCTTTCTTTCACGTCGAAACGGCGTAAGGGTTTGGCGTGATTTTTTGTGTGGGAATAGTTGGAGGGCTGGAGAGTGACATAAGCTACTTTTTACCGCGGGAGATTATCTAATTCCCACGGGAAAACACCTTATAATACAATCCAAAAAATATTTATGATCAGAATAACTCATCAATAAAATTAAATAAATACGTGTTTTAGCATTTTTCGACATTCATCCCATAAGAGGGTGAAATAGGGGATGAGTTTGCATGAATCTACTTTTTTAAAGATATTTCGTAATTTTAGCGCGAGCGAAGCCGCGGGTTCTGCTAGTATTATTATAAAAAATCGAAAATAGAACAATTTTTTTGTTATCATAAATATAAAATCACTATTATTGCTATTATTATTATGGATAATAAAATTATAGATCTCTCTCTCTCTCTCGCAAATTATCCGCCCCACTCATCTTGTTTTCTATATCGCTCAATTTATTGGAAGATAATCACATACTAACTTTCATACAGTCATTTGCAACTAATCTAATGCTCTACTTTAAAATCACTTCAAATATAATTATATGGATAACAATTGGTTGCGAATGTAGAATGCTCATCATGTTGGTATAGATAGCCGACTGGTGAGTCTGCACACTCTTATTAAGTTGTCAATTTTTGCCAAACAGTCCGTACGTCCATTAGGGGAAGCGTAGAGGCGTTGCTATCGGGAATCGAAGGTGACAATATTGATACACATAGGATTCGAATCAAAAGATTTTTTCTTTTCCAAAAAAAACAATATAAAAAATAGCACGTAGTTTTACAACACGAAGCATTAAAAATCTTAGCTTTGTTATACGCATGAGTACATAAGTAGAAATACAATCCACTTAGTCAGCTTTTTTTGTCATCACTTAGAATTAACCACTATATCGTAAGATTTGTCTGAGGTTATTGGAACTTTTAACCAAAAGTGTGTCCAATCCACTGACGATCAATAACAGTGTAAGTGTGGTTACTGGTTATTATTTCGAAATGTACTCGATAAATACAATAATCGGCTCGACACGACAGCGTGCCGACGGCACTGCGCGTGCGCAGATAGGCGGGGTCTTAGAAATACTTTCTTTTACTAACATTAGTTTGGAATGAGATATGTTTTAAAAGAATATCATTTTTAATATCTAACGTTAAGTTTTAAATATTTACGAGATTTTTAAATATTTCATATTTGTTAAGACTTGTCTTTTTTTTATTTATGCATAAAATCCTATCTGTCCACCTTTCTAATAAGAAAATATAGTGAAAATAATAACTCCTTGCAACACTGATAAAATATTATATAACTAAGATCGAATAAATACCTACCAATATATACTAGAATAAGTATGTACTTTTAATAGGATATTATAAATTCCTTTGCCTTATTTATTATCAAATCAAATCAAACACTTTATTGCTTTATTAACTTGGGTTAGTATATACATTTAGATTTTGATAATAACATATTTAATGTTCAGCCAAATTCAGCCTTACAGCATGCAATATTTCAATAATTAAAATATACCTAAAATTACAAACGTTAACATATATTACATAATAACATATTATTCAGTATTATGTTTAATTTCCTGTGTAATGTATGTTATATCATTCTTTTTTAGCTAGTTAATTACAATACCTATATACCTGTTTAAAATTATATATTACAACTTATCCATTTATTAAAATAAAAAATTGTATACAGAAGACCTAATTTTGCTTTAAATTATAATTATCTTACTGCTTCTGGAACACGCTTCTGTTATAGTAGGTATGTACTTAGGTATTAGCAGACACTGAAGTTTATATATAATTGACAATGCACAGTTATTCCGTCACGTATTTAGGATATAGGGTTAAACTTTCATCGGATAAATGAAACCAACGGCTTTTCCATCTAAATATTTATTTCGCCCATTTGCATAAACATTCGAATAAAATTGCATATAGTTACATTTCTACTCGCCGACTCCCTATAACCGCTACATTTGTACTTAACGATTTCTTATAAGGTCTTCAAACATTCAGTATTACCAGTGAATATATATTGTGCAATAGAGATCTAGATTTTTTTTGTAGGTTCGACAAATGCTTAATTCAAATGCCACACTTCAAAATATGATCACTGGCAACCCCACAAACACTCATGAATAGCAAAGTACAAAGAGCACGCAAGTTCCTTAATAAATGACGAAATAAATAAACAACAATACAATTCCGTATACGTTATAAAAATAGCCGAAATTTTTTTTGGTAAGATTACATTATGGTATTGTATAGACTACAATCTAATGAGAAATATTCATGTAACAAACGTATGATAATGACAATGATAATAAATTCACTAATTAACTGCAGAGTAATATCAGTCAAAATCATAGATACTTTATAGGTAACTCAATATTGTTGATCGGCGAGGCACTATTTAGAAAGGGAAAAGTTCCCACTTGGAATTATAATTAAAGCGATCAAATATCTCGTTATAGATAACTGTCGGCTATTTTTTATGCTCATTTTATATCGTAATATAATTTTAATATATATTTTTTTGGTGTTTTATACAAGTATTATTGTCATAGTTGTTTTTTAAACACAAAATTTTATTACAAGTCGAAAAGGGCGGTTTTCGTTCTTATTTTCTTTTTGACAGTATGTGACAGTTTAATAGGAAGCTGTGACCGACATCGGTCAGAAGAAAATTAGTCAGATTTGATTTCCCATAACTAATATCAGTTTGTATGGGAAAAAATCTGAGGAGGAATATAACAATGAAAATTAAAATCTCTTTGAAAATAGTGCCTCAGCTGACAACCACGTAAATATTTAACTACATGATTAAAATACAAATGTAAGCAATTCTAATGAAGATTCTAATAGATTATTATGATTAAACATATGAAATATAATAGCTAGAACATTACATAAATTGTTCGTTGGAGAAGTGAATTAACCACCTATCACTTATGACCTATAATTAAAAAGTTTATGTAAAATTTAAAAATATCACTTGGTTATTGGAAAGACGTACATATGAAAGACAATATTTGGAATAGACATTCAGTACAGAAAGGAATCGTAGGTTATAGTTATTATTGAGAATATTTTCATAAAATCTATGCCAAAATACACATATAAATTTCAAAAAATCTCATATCATAAAATTGAACCAAGAGATCATATAATTAAAGCCCAATAAGAAATGTGCATATGTAATACTTGTTGTAGTTAAAAATACTAAATAAACTAGATATTAATATATGTATAAAAGTTTATAATAAAAAATAGTAAACGATTAAAATCTCTCAAAATTGCACTGTTTTAATTATTCTAGAATAATAATAATTGGAAATATTGTGCAAGCATCGATCTAACGGATCATTTATAGTTCGACAGTCTTCAGTAATCATGGGCAGAATACAAGTATTTTAAAATAAATATATGAACAAACTTTGCTATTTCATTGCACTATTCGTAGGAATTACCATCTAAATATATTTATGACGGTAATAAAATCAATTATCACCGCATAAAAATGTAAGACAGTAAAAATCAAAGGATAATGAACTAAGTTAATTTTAATATACGCAGCATTAAAATGTCACTGTTTAAAAATAAACCTTTTTACTTTTGAGCAACATAATAGGAATTGTATCCAAAAAGAGCACTTGCCAAAAAGCTTGTGTCACGAAAATATGTAAAATATAAAAAAATATTTTTAATACCTTTTGTTGAAATTTATACAAAAATCAAACACAATTTACGTAAAACATTAATCTATAAAAAATGTTAATATATGGATGTATACGATGAAAGTTGATACAAGATAATCATGAAATACGTCATACACTAAAATTGTAATATAAAAAATAATTACACTTTTCAATTTGACACAGAAATATCACTGTTACCATCTCAGATTAAGGAATATAGACGGAGTATCCTAGAGCTAAGCATATATACCAAATAAAAATGAATGTAATTAGTAATAGAAGGTAGTGGTAGCCCAGTGGTAACGCGCTCGCGGGAAACCGAATGAAGCGGGTTCAAACCCCGGGTCTCGCACCTCTGATATTTTCACGTGCGAATCATTTCTAACATGATTACCACTTGCCTTAGGGTGAAAGAAAACATCGTGAGGAAACCTGCATGTCTGAGAGACTGACCTAACAAGTTTACGGAAGACATGTGAAGTCCGTCAACCCGTACTTAGCCAGCGTGGTGGGCTATAGCCTGATGCCCCTAGTATTAAAGGGAGATATATAGATAGGGGATAGATAGATTTATTTTGAGTAGAATAGAGGTGTTGAAAAATTGATAAAAATTTGGATTTCAGGTGTTAAAAAAAATATTTTTCTTTTAACGAAAATAAAATTAGCGAATAGCGAATGATTAAAAAATACAAAAGGATATAATATATATTACTTTTACTTTTTATATTTACTTCCCAAAAACACGAGGAATAGTAGTGTAAACAGCAAGATCACGCTGCTATATTCGAATTTATCAATTTTTTCGGCGGACTCCGTCTATGTAATTCTTCAGTCTGAGGTTACCATATAATTATAAAATATAAGATGAAACTTAAAATTAAATGTATTTGGTAGAAAACTAAATGAACCTAATGTTCAGCAGTCACTAAAGTAATGATTATTAAATATTATTCGACATTAGATACAAACACAAACATCGAATTGTTACTTTAATAAGATTGCTTGAGTTGTATTATATATGAATCATGTATCACCTGTTGTATGGCCCCGATGTCTAACAAAATATGACATAACTAAAAAATAAACACCGTTTCACATAATAAGCCTAACAATATATCTAGTAACTAGAAATGATATGCACATCAAGATGAAAAATTACTTAATACAACTAAAGAGACTAAATAGCGCCTTATATAATGACGATAGCAGATTTTTATACAGTATCTTGCTATAATAATTTAAGAGGCGCTTTAGATTTGTAAATGATGTTGTTTTATAATTTTTGAAGATTTGAAGTGCCACAATTATTCCATACTAAATAATAGTACGCCATGCAACTACATAGCTTGCGCACCTAATCATAACCGAGAATCGAATACCAAACCATGGAACGCTGTTATCTTCACATATAAACTAGAAGCGTCCTCTTCATTATACTCGTGAACAAAAAATATGAAGTGAAAATCAGCATAATAAAATGAAATAAAAATATTTATATATTCCAAACGCGTCCTATTCCACTTTTTTGTGCGCGGCCTTTGAAACATGCGCTTATTTACCATACGTATATAATAGTCTAAGATGCCACGCAAGGTAGTCCTTCACCCATCTGCTTACTGTATTTTTGTATATATATATATATATATATATATATATATATATATATATACATACATACACAACACACAAATATAATGCAGATGAGTCGCCTAATAAGACAAATTACCCATTAATGTTAATCTTCATTTTGTCAAATATATTTTTATATTATTATTGTATATAAAAATGATATGAAACATCAATAAATTGTTTCCTGCAGCAGATTGGTGAGGGACGCCTTTGTTTCAGACCTTCTGCTACAGCCATCTATAGACGTTTGATATTAATAATAATGTCTACAAATAGACAATTACTGGCCGCATAAACGCTTTGTCTCGCTCACACTTTTTAGCTCACTTATACTTACATCGCGTTAAACACTTGTCGCTTGCATTTTAGCTTACAATGATTTTTATAACTTATTTCGCCACATTACAAACATACTTCCATATACATATATTCTGGAAGGTATCATTTTTGATAAAAAGTCATTCACACAATGCAAGTTCATTGTATAGTGTCAAATAGAAAATGATTGTGTGGATTTTGACATAATTTAGTTTTATAGTTATCTTAGAATTTGGTCTACTTAAAGAATCTTTATTAAGTCAAGAAATATATTTTTGTCTTACAGAGCAATTCTGGTAAGTAAATAAAGAAACAAAAAACAATTTACGAGTACATACTTATTTGGCAGGTTATTTTTTGTTTTGTTATAACTATTTTCATTATTGTGTATCAACAGTTGTACTTTCTCTTTTTAAATGCTTTTAAGTTTGGCTAGCTTATTAATATAAAATAACTTTGCCAATTGGCAATATAATAATTATACTGCATGCATCGGCCTAAAAACTTGCATAGTGTTAATGAACCCTTGTACTTTGTTCATACTTAAGTAGAAAGAAGAAAATTAATTGGTTACTCACATAGGCAAAAAAATACGAAAAAATACATGATTATAATACAAAGTATCTATCACTAAAGATATATATTTATCCATAATATTAATCTCATGTTTTTTTTAAATTAAAAATAAACATAACATAATCAAATTTTATGGTTATATGTATTATCAAATTAGTGTAACTGAATTCAGAATGTTTTTCCACAAGACTCATTCAACTACTTAAGACTAGCAAACACTGTTAAATTTTGAAAAAATAAGAATGATTTTGTCCTTTTAAACAAAAATAATTCACATTAATGAATTAAATTTATGTGCAGTTCACTACAGAAGTAAAACTTACTTAAAAAATCGTTACCTTTTTAAAGTTAACAGGCAAATTTACTTTACCAAACCAGAGTTTAAAATATAAATAAAAAAAAGTACATAATTTCGCACTATGTAAAGAATTCATAATGGTATACAAAAAATATATATAAGAAATTAAATGTATATATAGAACGAACAAAAATATCTTTCAATAAATAAGTTTGTTAATATTGGTCATGTTTAAAATTCTTAATGCCTTACATTAAATTTTTAAGAATTTCTCAAAATTACGACATTTAATTTCTCTTTATACTTAATTATTTACTCTAAACAGCGTTACGGTCGACATTTATTGCAATGAAGCCAATTAGAACATGACAGCTAGAGCATTAACCACTTTTTAATATAACATTTTACTTAGTATTTATTAATTGGCTCACTTGTATGGATTATTCCCGAATGTATATTTTATTACGTAATTCCACATTGTATCATATATGACAGATATATAGACACAGATAAATATCTATAAACAGTTGTTGGCACTTTATAAAATCAAAACCTTCGTTTCTATCAATTAATGGTGTGAATACTTTTCAACTAAAAATAACTATACCTTATACCATATAGTATACAAATAATTAAAAAGTCAACTAAAAAATAATTGTATAAAATAATATAATTCTACATAAGCTGCCTAAAGAAAGATATAAAATAAGATTATATTTTCTGCCACATCCAAATTTCGTAAAGCCCAATGTATTTTTAATTCTTATCAATTAAAAATCATATTAAAAAATCCTTATTCAATTAACTTAATATAAACAAAAATAATATAATAATATAAATATAAATTTCATATTTTTTAAAAGAAATTAATGTTTTACTTATTACTGTATACATAATGTATTTCATTTTTAGTATTCAATTTGATCACAAATAGTGAATGCCCATCAGTTTTTTTTTTGTCTCGAATCATACAAAAGAGAACAAAAAATATTTATAAAATTAAACTAAAATCCATGGAGCTACAATATATATAAAAACCCATATAATTGCAATATTAGAAATCCAAAATAAAATATTCCGTCAACGTATTTTTCACCCGTTGTGTGTACGTACGTGTTAATTGTTAGCAGTGGGATTCCCCGTTCTCGTGGTGCCCGGAATCGAAGCTGCTCAAATGTCCCAGTCCTTTGGGCGGGATGGGCGGCGGGGTTTCCTCTTCGTCAACGTGCAATGGCTCGGACATCATTGATATTATTTCCTCGTACCGAAGCGATTCCACTATATCGATATCTGGGAATTTAAAAGAATAATTTATAATTTTTAACACAAAATATACAATTAAAAAGGTATAATCTCCGCTGCGTCATGGCGATGGCCTTTCTCATTCATAATATTTAAATTAATATTTTATTTGCATTAGATTTTTACACAATGTTTACACATAGCTTTGGTCAGCCCTGGATTTACACTAGGGGCACTCGGGGCTAGTGCCCAGGGCGGCAAAATTCGGGGGTGGGAAAAAATTTTCTTCGCGTTAACGAAAATGCTTTATTTTATTTACCAAAAAACGAAAGGTAAAAAAAACTTAATTTGTAGGTAAATTTTTCGAAAAATTGTTATCATTTATAACTTTTTTTTGCATTTTTTGATAAAATTAATAATTAAAAAATTTAAACTTTCAACATTTTATTCAAAATTTCGATAATAAGGCGGCATTTTTTACTGTGCCCAGGGGCGGCGCTAAGGTTAAATCCTGCCCTGGCTTTGGTACTACTAATACTTCTATTACTTTCACAACCATTAAATATGACTTTTACCTTCGTATGGTAGAGTGAATTATTTTTATATTATGTATTTTAATGCATGTAATTGGCCGAGGCTCTTAGACGCTTTGTGGTACATGTAATATGAGGCGAGTCACCGTCCGCCAAATATTCAATGTGGTACTGTTGAGAAGGCGGAAGTCCGGTAGTCTCATTCAATAGAGAATTTTTTTTAGCTTATTCGGACTCCATCCCATAACCCCATTTAGTATTTTACACTCTTTATTGTTTCTACACATTATCTAGTGACCGTCTTTGGACAATTCCCTAAGGGTTAGACAAAGATGAATCATGACTGATGAGTTACATTAAAGAAACTTGAATATCTTAAGAGGTCTCTACGTTTTGGAACTGTGTTCTCACACAAGCTAAAGGACCGGGCTCCTTCGAGGCCATGAAATCCGAAGAGATATAAATAATAATAAGGCAGTGGTATCCAGTGGTAACGGGCTCCCTTGGGAAACCAAGTGAAGTGGGTTCAAATCCCGGGTCTTGCCCCTCTGATATTTTCATGTGATCGTGAGGAAACCTGCATGTGTGGGAGAACCCGCACTTGGCCAGCTTGGTTGACTAGCCTGATCCCCTCTGATTGAAGGAACCCCTCACCCAACAATGGCACGTTAAAAAGGGTTGATTACTACTACTATATAAATAATAATAATTCCATATACAAGTATAATACCATGATTGTGCCTGTCAGGCGCGTTAGTGTAGTGGTGCGCGTCCACGCTCACGCCGGAGTCGCGCTCCTCGGCCGCGCGCGCGCGTCGCGGCACCGCCGGCGCCTCACTCCACAACCGCTTGTCTCCTACACATACACACAATACACATACAGACAGGTTTTAATAGCAAAGAAGAAAAGTTAATCTACGTATTATAAAGAATCGATATTTGTATGTACATATTATGTTCTTTATGGACAAACGGCTGGAGCGATTTTGAGGAAATTTTAAAGCAACCTGAAGGTTGCCTTAACCTGAAGGTTTAATCTGAAGATTAGCCCAGCGGGTGTTCTTGTGTAGCGATCGAAAGTTCGAACGCGGTCGAAGCCGCGGTTAAATAAACACCATTAGCTCGAATATTTTTATGTTGAAATCGTTCGTATATAGGTTTTATGAGCCTTTTAAAATATGGATAGAGGTAACGACGCTGACGATGCAAAATTGTTTAAATAAAATATCTTAAGTTAAACTTTCTTGATTTTACAAAACATGTTATAAGCTAAAACAACATATACAAAAACTAGCCGATTGACCTTTCCAACGATTAATATATTTTCCATTACAACATAAATATATAATTCGCAATTATAACTCGCACTTAAATTATTTGATTTAAAAAAATGTAACTACCAGACACTCTCGGCGGTAGCGGCGGAGCGTCGCCGGGCTCGCTCCACGAGGCGCGGCTGTGACGACGCGTTTCTACCTCTTCCTCTACTGTATCTCTGTAATGAAATAAGCTAATTAAAATCAATTATTGGCTTAAAAATATATATGATCTGAAATATTTGGTAATAATTACATATTAACAGAAAAAGTACATCAATTTAATAAATTAATAATTAAATGTATTTTGAAAAACAAGCTTTTCTAGGTTTATTTTTTATAAGTTATTCTAAATCAATCAATGATTCGCGACGAAAGTTTCTTAAATTTTAAAGTGTAACAGTTCATATTTCCTCGACGAGATTCTTGTAGGGTTCAAGTCTAAAAAATCCTTACTAAGAAAATCCTTTATTTTTTTAAGTTTTTAATATCTTTTTTTAGCTAGACCGAAAAAGAAGCATCAACTTCCAGACATTAAACAAATAAATAAAAACCGGCTTCTAGATACTAAAAAGTTAAAAATAACTGAACGGGGAACGAACATAGAACCTCCTTTTTGGAAGTCGGTTATATATATCTGTCTTGGTCGGCTATAAGATAGATAAAAAAAACACCAGCTCACTTATACTTTTCCAGCGGTCTAGTAGGGCTCCTGGGGTCGCCGGACTTCGGTCGCGTCGGCAACGGGGGCGCCGACTTGATCATAGAGTTGTCTTCGTACTCTCTGTTATCTCTCTCTCTATTATCTCCGGGGAGGCTGTTCGTCATTATACCACTTTGCTGGTCTATTCCGTCTTCTAGAGAATACTGGAATTATATGGATGTTTTTTTAATCGTTGTGTTATGATTTAAACACTCAATATCAAGGAATGTTTTCGTTACTTATATGTATTGAAAGTAAGATTTTATGATTCTATTTTCTAACGATCTACAAATATTATATGAAAAAATATTTATAATCAAATATATAGCAAGTCTTAAATAGAAAGCAAGCGATATTTATGAATTTTTATATGTAAATAACAGTTAACAAATTAAAGACTATAAAAGACTTACGATAGGCCTATTATAAAGATGTCCGTCTTCATAGTATCCATCGTTTTGTTGGACGCTGTGAGACCTCTTATCTAGTGCGGGCACTGGTGGTAGTGGTGTACTAAAGAAATAAAAAAAATTGTTGTGTTAATATATTAACAAAAATAACGACCATGTTAGCGTACGTCATGTGCGTAAGTCATGTTTAGTTTATCTTTTTTGTAATTAATCAGGTAAATTAAGAACGTAATTAGTTAGGTAACTTGGGACAATCAAGTGAAGCCTCAGGCACTTTTGGATTTTTCATGTCATTGTATAGGTTAGTATAGTAAAAGAAAACATCGTAAGGAAACTTGCATGTTTAAGAGAATCTAACTATTTTGTCGAAAGATGTGAAGTTCGCCCAGTATTTAGTCAGTATGATTGATGACCATGACTAATTTCCGCTTGCATTATTGATTAGTTTACTTACTTGACAATACTTTCAGACAGCTGACGCCTGGCACGAGCTAAGCCTGGTCCCAGATTCTGCCTTAGTTGAGTGAAACGTTCTACTAATCGTCTGTAAAATAAACAAAAATAAGCAAAAACCGCACCTTAATAGGTAAAATGAAATTATATATCTGGGTTTAGAGATATGTAGCGTAATGGTATATTTTCATGTAAAAATTCTCTGAAATGGAGCGACCGTTAGATTTTTATTCATTTTAGAAGATATCTTTATAAATTGTTCGTTCGTTAAGCGTATACTTATGACTGAAACATAAACATTCATACATACATTTTTTAACAAAGTTTTCACTTATCATAGATATAGGATAAAACAAATATAATTAAAGACCAAACATTTCTAACAAAAAAAAACAAACCATCTATTAACTCACCGATGCAACGGCTTAACTTCCTCCGGTGCTAACCGACCATGTAGAGTGAGCCCTGCCTCCACTACCGCCAACTGCGACGCTATGAGCCTCCTCAACTTGGCCGCGGCGGCCGCCTCTCTGGGCGTCGCATTCCTACTGAACTCCGCAGTTAGGAACGCTTGCTCGTATTTAGTAATACCTCCTTGGACATTGGCGTCGATAGTGCCTTGTAGTCTCATTGAGAATGGATTGATGTTCTGCGTGGGGTCGGCTGTGTATTGGGATATTAGACTGCGAAGTTCCCTTTCTGTTGCTTCCATTGTTTCACATGCGAACTGCAATAAAGGTTTAATTATAATTTATTTTAAGTTAGCTTCTGGTGGACTTAGGTAGTTTTGGATAATCTTGATAGTTTGAATTTTATTTGACTACTATAATTGTTCCATGCTGTGGTCGAAACCATAAAAAACGTAACGGAAAACTAACTTCTGTTTAGACCTTACAAATACAACATCATATAATGTCATATAAATATGTCATCAACACAATTTATCAAAAATGTATACAATATTATATTATTTTTATTTTATATGAAAGATATTTAAAGCGATAAAAAACTTACTTCAACTGGCGGTATTTCCTCTACGGATCGAGAGATGACTTCAGACCATCTCAATATTCCTGGAAGTGTGGTCTCAGTCACAAGCGTTGTGCGCTCAATCCATAAACTCTGTAAGAAGTATTACATTAATATTATTATATTTCTAAGTAAAAATCACAAATAATATTTTCTGATATGCTGTTAGAAGATGATGATGCATAACAGCTAATTCTTAGTAAATACGAGAAAACTACAAAAAAAACCATCGAAATAAATAAGTACTATGTATATAGCTTTGGCTCATAATTGGGTACTCTTAATTTTACTCCATTATCAAGAGATTTGAGCGAAATTCGTAATATCGTAATTTAAGCTCAGGTAGCTTAACACATAATTTTTATCGATGTATCTATCACACACACAAAACTGAGTCAGACAAATACTACAGACGGACTACTATTATTAAGTGTGTAAGTTGGTATGTGCGTATGTCTCTTACATCTTCATGTTGTAACGGCTGAACAGATTTAGATGATACTTAATACCCCGACAGACTGTACCCTAAAATAGGATGGTTATTGTTAAGCACCTAGGGAAAATACACTCGCTTTGCTACCCATACTAAAACATTATAAATGCGAAAGTAACTTTGTCTATCTATCTGTCGTGTATTCTGTCTCTGCTCTGTGTGTTGCCTTTTCATGCTTAATCTGCTGAACCAATTTAGATGAAATTTCGTGTGGAAATAGTTTGAGACGCTGGGAAAGACATAGCATAGTTTTTGTCCCAGAAATCATCTCTTAAGGGCGTTAAAAGGGGGATGGAAGTTTGTATGGGGAATCAATAATTTCTCAAATAAGGCATATAATGTTATTATTTTTAAAATTACTTATCTACTTCTCTATACCAATGTTTGTACATATGTGGTTTATTCTATACTAACCGTTAAAAAAATGACAAATACCACGTACCTTAAACTCATTCTCCTTATCAATGGGCGGCTTGTGCAGCGGGCGGTCGCAGAGGAAGGTGTCGACGTCGTTGCACGCGTAGAAGCGCTTCACCTGGTCGGGCGCGCCGCCCGGCCACGTGCGCCGCGACGCCACCGGCTTCACGTTGCAGATTTGTATATCTGGATATATATCGTTTATTTTTATTTATTTTAGAAAAACAAACAGTATTACAGAGCATACAACTGAAAAAAAATACACACATTTACCAATTAAGTTTCCACAAATAAGAAACACAATTAGAGTAGAAAACATAAGGCTAAATTAAGCAAAAAGTTGACACATACATATACACATATAAATATACTATAAACACAATTTATAGTATATGAAAATATTATCTTTCATTTAGTTATACTTTCTTTGATTTACGCGAATATTTGATATGTTAAATATATTTTTTTTAATGTATATACTTTAATTTTTTATTCCCGACATTCAGTGATTTACAGCAGACATGGTCACGGAAAAGGTTTCCCGGTTCCTCGAAAAAATAATTCTATTTAATTAGTTTTACTTAAAATATATGTATATTGATTTCAAAATTACTTAAAAGTAATTCTTCCATTAAGGGGTGGAATTATTTCCAAAAAATATGGAACAGCCTTACTCTTCTTTCTTGAGAAAAAAAATTTAAAAGCAATTCAAACCTTTTGCTAATTACAACATTAACACAACAAATCAAAATTAATGAAAAAAACCTTCAAACAAACGATAGCTAATCTATGTATATAAATAAAAATAAACTCACATTGTCCGTCAGCAGCAATTATAGAGTCATCGGGAGGAGTGTTGCGCATCAGTATGTGAGCCGACACATACTCTGATTGCAAGCGCTGAGTAAACGCCCCGATGCGCTCGTAGTCTTGCCCACGATACACGAACTGTTTATTCTGTCAAATATAATTCTATTTTGTACGTTTTTCCCAAGTTATTATATATACAAAACAAATTCCATAAATACAATAGATTTATATTATACATAACACATAACAAATTAATAATAATACCTTTTTGTTTTAAAGTTGGGAGTGCATTTACTTGTACCACCTGCATAGATACAAGTGAAACTGATCGGTCAGAAAAGTCAGTATTACCTAATAAAACCCAATCGAACAACCTCCATCCATCATCTCCATCCCCAAATGAGGCGTCGCAGTATCACTTACGCACTCAAGCACGACACCCCCATGGTTGTCTGCCGAGACAGACCACCACAACCAAAGAAATGCTCCCATGGTCCACTCTGCTATCAGAGAAGTATCAGGAGCAAACCACACGATACACTGCTCACAGTGCCGGGGCACATCCAAAGTGCGTTTCTTGGCTTTAAGCCCGGCTGGATTGCCGGACGTTAAAGAGACTCCTAGCCAGATAAAAACAATAAAACACCTACCCTAACAAACAGCGGACATCCCTTCCCGTAAAAGCCCACTCTGAAGTACTCGGGCTCTGGTCTGAGCTGCTCCAGGACAGAGTCCAGGAAGGTCGCGTGCGTGCGCAGACAGTGCGCGAGGCGCGCGTAGTCGTACAGCTTCACCTCGTATAGCGTTGCCAGCTCACGTAGCAGCGGCAAGCCTTTTTCCCAGCACTGGAACATGTAATATATATTTTAAATAAATATAAATATGTTGGGACATTACCACACAGCACCATCTAGTTTCATGGTAAACTACGAGGCTTGTGTTATGAATACCAGATAAACTTTTAAGATATTTCACTTATTCAATTAGAGAAATTTGATTAAATGGAAAAGCCGTGTAATCAGACCATGGTCTAAGCACCACTAAATTGGAAAGCAGTAAAATAAATATTGCATCAAAAATAAAATATTATAAAAATAAAACCCGACTGGCGACTGCGTAAAAACGAACTAAAAAGATGAAGACGAGTTGTAGAAATAACATAGTATTAAGCAGTCGGAGACGTACACGTAGGGATACTTGAAGCGAGTAATCTTTTTTTTATAGTAACAAAATTTAATTAACAAATTACAAATAGATTTTTTAAGTAAGAAGTTAAATTACTGCCCAATAGAAAAGTATGTTTATAGGAATAAATAACCTTTCCACGGTCGAAGTACTGCAACACTTGGTTATACAAGGCTTCTTTACGTTTCCATTCCGGAGTTTCGGGATGTTCGGGATCCACGCCTATTTGATCGCTCTCCCAGTTTAAGGTTTCTGCGTAAAGCTACAGTCAGAAATGAAAAAAAAATTACTAAAGAAAAAATCATACTTTTATAAAATTTCCAAATGTCTGTAAGACAATTTTATTATTAATACATAATCGACTTAATAAAATAAATAAGGGCGTAATTCAGTCTGTTTTTTTTACATTTGACTAAAATCGCTAAAAATATTTTGATGAAATATGTCGATCTTGACCCAATTACCATGTAATAAGAACCACGGATAAAATCTAGTAATAACTGAATGAATGAAAGAGTGAGCGAATCTTACCAAAAGAGTACATCCAGCTTCTATCCAGTTGTCAGATGCAATGTGCAAGTCGTGCAACTTGTACACGTAGCGCAAATACATTTCTTTGCGATCGATTTCATTTTTGTAGAAGTTCTGAAAAAATGTATCATATATGTATATAAAAATAAAAACCATTTTAGGATACGCTATACGGATAGCAGAATGTTAAAAATAAATTTTAATTATTATTAATTTAAATATATAATATTTTACACATAATGAATAGTCTCTACCATAACTTTTAAATCCAATAGGGAAAAGATAGTCAGGTATTTTCAAAAGGAATCTATGCAAAATTTGCATACAGGCTACTTAGAAGGCTTAGAACGAAAGGGCTATAATTTAAAAGATATATTCTCATAATGAAATGGAAACACTTAGGAGAAGTAGGGACAGACAATAAAAACATAATTAGCCATAAGTCCAAATTATTAATAAAAACATCGCACTTAAAAATCATCGCAAAGGATCATTTCACATGAATATTAATTAAAATGTAATGTTATATATGTAATATGTAATTTTAACTTGTTTTCTGGTACATAAATAAATAAATAAAAAATAACATCCATCTAAATAATCTACTTGGCCAAAAAAAAAACATGCACCCAAAACATCTCTTTGGCGGAAAAAAAGCAGTCATGAGTACTGCCGACAGAAGTGAAAACTTAAAACTATAAACAAACAGTTGTTATTATTGGATATTCAAATTGTTTGATCTTAAATTAAAATTTGTAAATTAAAACTGTTTACATTTATCTGGTTTTGACGTGTATTGGCACTCTGAGTGTTAGCGTTAACACGTCACGTGACCATGTCGAAGTTTTCATTTCAAAAAAACAACATGAACACAAATCATCTTTAAATTGGGTGCAACAAACTCACTAGCAAGTTGACAGTGGCGGCCATGCGCTTGTCGCGGTGCTCGGCGCCCTGCATGACGGCGCGGTAGTCCAGCAGGCGCTCCAGCAGGCGCGTCACGCAGCCCACGAACGCCGCGCCCGCCTCGCGCCACCCCTCCGTCGACACGCGCTCCATTAGACTGTATCACATATTATATGTTTGACAACACGTTTGGCTCAGTTTGTAGTGAGCCTGCTTGCTGTGACTACGACTAGCGGTCGCGGGTTCGAGTCCCGCGGGATGGGATTCATTTATGTGACAAGCGTGTTTGTTCTCCAGTCATGGGTGTTTATATGTATAACATGTATGTATTTAAAGTTATATATATGTAGTGTATCAACTATCTGGTATCTATAACACAAGCATCGTAGCTTACCATTTTGTCGCTACAAATTGAGTAGTCATTTTTCAGTTTATCATACTGTGACGTAACGCCAAACGCACGAAACGGCGGGCGTTTAAAGTATCCGTATCAGTATGAAATTAAAAAAAATATTATACAAAATTTTAGATTTTTTGAGCTGAATATTTTTTTACAATTATATAACGATGTAAGCTATTCTATAAAAAAAATCACGCATATTCCCTATTACAAGGGAATAATAACCATGCCATGCCAATTAGTAACAATTGCTTTTACAATTTTAGACCTCATTTAAATTATGATAAAATTCTAGTTTTTTTTCCTAAACTCTGTAATAAACACCATAGTAATACTTACACAGAACTCAAGTGTTCCCTGTTGTCAGTTTGCATAAACATTTCAAACATTTTGTTAAAATAATAATTGTTTTATATTAAACCTAAAAATACTATGTAAGTTACAGTACTAATAGATCGTTATAATATATTCTTTATTATCAATTCAATAGATTTACACTAGTGATGTTTAAGTTTACAAGACTAATGAGATTAAGGTACGATAGGGCTGGCATATCTTTGAAATAAAAGCCCTTAAAAATAAATAGAAAATATCCTTTAGTTACTCTTAAGAACTCATAGTTCTATAACAACTTGCACAGTATCCTTATAAAACTTTTTTTTTTCGGTTTTTTTCGCGGATTCTATTAAATTTTTGTTTGGCTCCTGGGAGACGGAAAAATCTGAATAAATCCGCGAAAATACAGTTTATTTTTTATTATTTTGAGATATTCGCGTAACTCTAAAAAAACTTACACAGTATCAAAAAGCCGTCTATAATGATCATCAGCTTTGTTATCAGCGACGAGCGAGTCCAGTTTATCCACTAATGCCGCTTCCGTCTTGCGAGCGGAGCCGGTGGCCGCGCGTTCCGCCGCCATGAGCCCTACTAGGGCTTCTAGGGCTGCGCGTCGTAGTTCGGGTACTAGGGTCACTTCTAGTAGGGCGCCTACCGCTGGTCCTATTAGCTGGAGTTGGGCTACACCTGATAAGTTAATGTAATGTTAAATGGAGTTGTGTTTTTTTAACGTAATGATAATTAATAAGTTTTTGAAGAGATTTCAAATCCGTATTCGTCTTTTTTTAAACCATTCGTATTTTAATTATGTATAAATAAATATATAATCAAAAACATACTGAAGAATATTAATAAAAAAACCCAGTCTCATTTCCTTATTTTAAATTATCTCAATCTATGAAATCTGTTACTTTTTTCTACGCTTATGAAGCATCCAATACTAAATAGAAAATATAAACACTTGAAGTAACACTTAAAAATCAAACAAAGAGTAAAATCGAGTACTTAATTGAACACCCCCATACTATCATCCATTATCAGTCATATTATCATATTGATACCATTTTGAGTTCAAAAAAATCAGAAAGGTAAATAATAATCATAAAAAAACACTTAATATACACCTACGTGTAATGTATAAGTGCCGGGTGAATTTTGGTTAAAATTAAATACAGTAACACATAGGCTACTATCACCCGAGTGAAGGGTGATCGGTCATTAGTCGGACGATTATATGTACGCGCGTGTGTGTGCGTGTTCGCGTAAGTGTGAACATACCGAGCCTGGTCCACACAGCGAGCAGGTGCAGCGCGGCGGCGGCGCGCATGGCGGCGCGCTGCGGCCCGCGCGCCCACTGCTCCGCCTGCAGCGCGTTCGCCGTCACCAGCGCCACGCCCAGCTCCAGGTAGCCCGACCACAGCTGCGATATACACGAGTTAAATAGAAATATATTGTCGAATAAAGCAACAATTATTGACTTGGATTTTTAGTCACTGAATTTCTTTAAGTTTTTATTTATAAAAATATTTTTATATTAATTCCTTCGTTTATAAATAGATAAAATGAACATTTACATAGGCATCAAAACTATCCAAGTTTCCACAAAACTATTAGCACTAACCTGTGAATCAAACTGCGGCGGTTCATCTCCCAAGAACCTTTCCAACAAAGGTTTCGCTAGATCTTGCAGTGCAGATAATAATACTTTACAGCTCTGAACTCTTAACACCATCCAGTCAGGTGGGAAGACCTGAAAAATGGATATAAAAAGTTATTAATAATCTTAATCATCTGTGTATGTATTCAGCCTTTTTTAACGTCCTACTACTGGGCATTGGCCTCCCTTTACTAAAATTGGGCGATCCCCATTTTGGCCATAGTCTACCACGCTGGCCAAGTGCGGATTGGCGGACTTTACATGTCTTTTGAAAACTTGCTAGGTTCTTTCAGACATCCAAGTTTCCTCACGATGTTTTCCTTCACCATAAGACAAGTAGTAATCATGAGGGAAATGTGTCGCATATGAAAATATCGGAGGTGCGAGACTTGAACCACTCGGTTTCCCAAGCGCGCGCGTTATCACTGCTTATTCCTTTATTTTTTATAATTTGCCAAATTTAAATTAGTCCACTTACATTAACTCTGTACACAAGTCATATGTATAAAATAGCTCTAGCAAATAGCCTCGAAAATGTACATATGTAAATTAAATGATAATAAAAATAGGTAAATTACTGTCATTTAAATTAGATGTATCGAGGTTTCGGCATTGTACCGTATCTTAATTTTTTTTAATACTTCATTTTAGAAAAAGCAATATCAAAAAGCAAATTTAAACATTTAAAGACAATTTTAACAAATAAATTAATATATTAAACATTTACTCATATATTTTAAATAACTATCATTCCGGATTTTTTCGCGGATTTATTTGGATTTTTGGTTCCCGTCGTTTCGAATGGTTTACAGCAATCATGGTCACGGGAGAGACTGAGGTGTTAGATGTCTCAAAGATATTATATAGTTGTTACAGACAGCCTACCCACAAATAACAAAATGAATTCAAAAAAATGAAAAATGGCAATAATGCTATAATAAATAAAATAAAAAAATATATAAAATATAATAAATACATCCTTGTTATGGCTCAGAACCAGTCAACCTAGGAATCCACCCAACACCAACAAGAAATACAAGACGAATTGAGTCCCTCCTTATTGAAATCGGTCAAAAAAGGACATTCAAACAACTTAAATGTTAAAAAACCACATGCATTTTAAATAAAACTATCTTTTCGAATTTTTTGACGGATTTATTTTGAATGTTGGTTCCCGGCGACGTTTCGAATGCTTTACAGCAATCATGGTCACGGAAGAGACTGTCTCTCCCGTGTTCTAGTTTTAAAAGATAGTTTTATTTAAAATGTCAAATGTTCGCGTAAATCTAAGAATGTATAATGTGAACCACATACATCTTGCTCAATCAAATGTCGGAACACAAGGAAGGCTCGCATTAGGAAGTCTTTGAGCGGTTTTCGGTCGTTCGGATGCGGTGCGAGGTGACTCCACAGACGCTGGTAGTGCGCCGGCCGCAGTAGCTCCATTACTCCCAGTAGACCCGCTACCATTGGACCCTGTTGATAATACAGACATATTATTATATAATTATGGATTTAAATTGTGGTGCAAAAACTTTAATTTAAAAAAAAAGTGTGTGTGTGTGTGTACTTATGTATGCACGTAAGAAGTTATACTTAACAAAAATAGCTAAAGATTTCATCCCGTATGTCACAACTCTGTTTGTAAAAGGAATGCAGCTAACTTCATCATGTCACTATTTGGCTGTCAGTGTGCGCGCGCAGCGTAAAAATTTTACTCTCATATTTTTTTCCAAACGTGCCAAAACAAGTATAACTTCAAAAAAACATGAAAGAACGTTTGTGTACTACTTAAATCTATGTATAATGTACTATAAATGATTTTGACACACCTTGGGATTGACGTGATCCAGTCTACTTCAATGTTGGATTTTAAAATTAGTATTTTTTAAATTATTATTTTAATCAAAGTTATAGATAATAACATAGACTCGCTTGTTTTCTTACGACAGTTCTTCTCAGGACAGGATAAAGTTTTTGAAAAACAGTAGGTACCAATATCACAGAAACTATTATTTATATACCGCAATATAATTACTTACCGATAAAGAATATGTTTAATCAATATATGAAGGGAAAATTATAATTGAGAATAGCATCAATCTAGGATCAAATTCACCGTCACACACTGCTTCACACTAAAACGGATGTAAGTTCACAGATAGGGTATGATCTAAAGATTCTAAACTAACACATAGGCACCTAACGATGAAGCCGAGCAAAACGAGGGTAAGTGGCTAGTGTCTCATACATTTTATATTCGAAATTGCTACAATAGAGAAGTTGCATTAAATTTTTTGGCCCAAATTTATATACAAATGAAAGAATAGTACACTTAAAATATATTTAAATATATTTTTTTTGTTATTAAAAAAATGTTAAATTTTTGAACGAAATAAAACAATTTGTAATTAGTTGTAATGTCATTATATCCGTTGAGGCTGTGAGCCAATCGCAATCATACTATACTTTTGTATTTTTTATTTTCGGATCACCATGTTTCATAACAAAATAATCAAACGCCAATTAAGTAATTTCAAATTTTTGATTTTGACAACGTAAACGTTAAAACACATGTTTTATCATTTCGCCATGCGGTGGCTTTACTAAAGCGATATAATGACGTTACTGGCGTTTGAATTTACATAAAAAAAAAACACTTTTAATTGTAAAATTACATTGAAAAACAATTGTTATTTATTTATTTATTTTTAATAGTTCTTAACAATTTTTAGTGCGCTTTAAAAAAAATAAAAAACATACAAATTCTCTATACTAAGTTGCAATATCATTCCTTGCATGTGTAGAAATAATAAAACATAAATTACTCACCAGTACAGGGGACTTCCCGCCAATCAGATTAAGGACAGTCTCAACCAACACGTCTAGCGTGTTCAGACATAGCACGTCCACGTCAGGGTCCAGCTCGTCTTCATCCACTATCTGGTCAGGGTCTTCCTTCTTCCACAGTAAGGTTACTAGTTCTCCTAGCATGTCTGCACATTGGGCCAGTTCATCCCTTCGTGCAAGGTGCACTCGTAGGTGGTGGCATGCTGTTGTTAGAACTATGTTGCGTGCCTCTGGAATGTTTAAGTTACTATGTATTAGATATCTGTGGAAACTTGGTTGGTTTTAGGATTAATTTTATATGTTTTATAATGTAATTATTTATTGTAATGTTTGTTTCCCTTGAAAAGCTAATAAATTATATATTTTTTTCTTTCATGTGGACTATTTTCAGACAAAAAAACACATACATGCATTCCTTACTTATTTTAATAGGTGATATAAATTAAAATACAAATAATTATAATATTCTCCCGACCGATTTCACTGAGACTAGCCAACTGCGTGGGATATATTATTTAATACACAATTGTACTCGCAAACACAAATACACTCTATTCCTTTAATTTTAACATTTAGACGGGACGACAACTAGATACAACCGTTGAGATATAAGTCACACAGGATCAATAGCTTAACGTGCTAACGACGCACATGTAAATATCATAATCCGCTTTCAAACTCAGAGCATACTGAGTCTTATGAGAAAAAATCCCTACTTCACTCGGCCTGACGCAGAGCTAGAGCCCAAAACTTAGAACTTTCGATATCACATCACGAGCTAGACTAACGAGGCACTATTACATTATATAGATACATACAGATATATTGACAAAAAATAAAAAATTTAATTAAAAAAAACGTGTGTGTGTACTTATGTACGCACATAAGAAGTTATACTTCTTTGGCGTAACAGAACAAAAATAGCTAAAGATTTCATCCCGTATGTCACAACTCTCTGTTTGTAAAAGGAATGCAGTTAACTTAATCATGTCGTTTTTCGTCTGTCGGTCGTGAAAATTATTTATAAATTTTACACATTTTCTCCAAACGTGCCAAAATAAGTATAACTTCAAAAATAAAAACAAAGGCAACATACCAGGATCTTGCCCGAGCGGTCCTTTAAGCACTTCCTGAGCAGCGGCGAGCCTCGCCTTAGCGAGCGCGGGCGGCGCGTTGGCGGCGGGCGCGTCCAGCATCGCCGCGGTGATGCGGCCCGCCTCCACCGGCCCGAGCGCGGACGCTACCTCTTTGGCTACACTGGCCCATGACGTCATTAGGGCGACCTGAGAAAGTGCGGACCATCGTATTTATAAAAACACGAAAAAAAAAATTCATACCTAATTATATGTAAAAACTAAATTTCAGATTCACAATCACTTTAAAAAATAATTTACTATAAACATCACATAATAAATAAAACATAATTACATAAAGTGAAAATTGTTCGAAGGGAGAGTTTTTAAAGTAGGTTAAATTTCTTTTCAAATATTATCATACGGCCATATATTAAAAAAAAACGATTGCAACAACAAATATTTATATCAATTATTTAAGTCTTTGACGAATCATTGTCAAAGATCACGGAGATATTTTCCGGTTTTATTTTTATTTTTGACGACACATTTTTTTTTTAATTATAATATATTTCGGTAGTAAATTCTCTCTTTTTACCAAATTATTATATAATTTTGTGGGTTTGATTCTCGTAGTTATTACCGTCTGTACTAACTACAACATTTCCTATAAGTACACAAGCGCCTATAGAAGCGGTTGGCATCAAAATCTCTTTTTTTGTCATTTTGTGGTTGTATTGCTTAACAGCATATATCCATATAAGATACCTGAGCGGGCGCCAAGTGATCCCTATGCGGGTGCTGCGCGAGCGCCTTGAGCGCGTGCAGCGCGGCGCGCACGTCCCGCCGGAAGCTGTCCTCGTACTGGCCGCCGGTGGCGCGTGCGAACAGGCAGCGCGAGCGCACGGCCAGCCGGAACACGGCGCCCAGCGAGCGCAGGCACTTGCGGATCGGCTCCTGCCCGTCGGTTCCGGCGGCCCACTCCGCGCAGTGCTGCACCGACGACAGTAGGCCTCTGGTGGGGCGGGTTCATTGTTGTTATCGGACCACAACTATCACATATTATGGGAAAGCGTATGTATTTGGGTGTGTATGCGGGCGTGTATGTGCGTGTGAGCGCGTGCGTGTGAGCGTGTATGTGTGCGTGTGGGAGTGTGTGGACGTGCACGCGCGCGCGCGTTATTGTGTAGGTGTGTGAGACTAGGACAGTTATTATTAGACTCATAGGGACGTTAGAGATATATAAAGATTTCTATTAGGTAACCCTTACTTCCTCTCCCTTCTCTACCTTTAACTTTTGAGAGTGAAAACCATGTGGATGCACACTAAAATATAGTTTTGAAATCAATTTGATATCTGTAGGAAAATATAGGTACTGACACAACTTTTTCGCCTCTACGACGTTTACTAAGCGAAATATTAGAAAAAATATCATCGTGTAAAAAAATTGCGTAAATACATATAATATGTCTTTTAACTTACTTGTATACGAGAGCTGCCGAGAAATGCTCCTCAATATAAACATCAAGAACCGGTCGAAAGTGCTGGAAGCGGGACTCATCTAACAAACTGCAGATCGACACTAGTACTAGGAAAACTGTGCCGGAATGAGGAGTGCTGTAATAAAATAATGTTTCAGTCATAACAATAGTAAATCGCATCAGTTATATAAAAAAATATATTAGTAAAATATTCTTTTTTTTTAAATTTGGCTATACACAACTGTCTGACTGGCATTTCCTGCATGAAGTAGCTTAAACAATACTACAAAATGTTAGTGTATAACCTTCTTCAGTGAGTACGCTATAAACTGCCAAGAGCAGTTTATGTAGTCTTACTACTTTCAAAGATTTAGAGCGTCACAGCACACGGTAAACTAAAATTTTATAATATTCTGTTAAAATTAATCTACGTAATTTCTTCTTTATTCTTCATTTTAAGTAGTTTTAGTGAAATTAAAGTAGTGACAAAGGCTACACTTTATCTTCGAAAACAAATGGGGTTCCTTGGGGATAGAGATTGAACGATCAGATTGTTGCTTGCAAGACAAGCAAAGCAGCGGGTTTTTGAAAGCTAGAGTTTTATGTAATGTATATTTACTTACCTATTCCCATCTTCAGTAGAGAACAAAGCAAACAAAGCATCTAAAACATCTCTCAGAAACTTGATGAGTTCTTCGCAACTCAGGCCATCTCCCAAACGCAGAACACGCATTAGTGTTTCTTGTACTTTCTCAGGTCGAGCGCGCCATTGCAATAACGCTAGTAGATCCTCTGTGGATAAAATATAATTTATTAAGTAACGATGCTTTCGACAATCCTTTTTAAGTAATATAAATAGCACATAAATAAATATTTAAATAAAATAAATGATTTATTTACGTGTAATTCTCCGAAATTTGTGTACAACTGACAATTATGTACATCATATTATGTACAGTTGGTTTATATTATTTTTTATAAAATTACTTGAAAAAAATAATAATGTCGTTAACCTGTAATGTTTTCTTATTTATTGTGTACTTGAGTCTCTAAATAAGACTAAAAAGTACTTAGTATAAAATCGCAATCGATGCGACATTATATTAAGAGGTAGTGTAGATGTAGTGTGTAAGCACCATTACTTAGTTTTTCCCATAGTCAAAATAAAAGTAAATAAAATCAAAATTCAATTCATTCGTCCTTACCATTTTGTGTGAGTTTAGTGGAACACAAGAGAGTGCTTATAATACAGTTCTCTTTAGTGCTTCTTTGGAAGGAGGTTAGAACGCCGTTAGACGTCGCGCGTGTTGTGTCGCTTGCGCACGACGGGAGCGAGAGGTAGCTTCCTGATAATAACCTGTAGATAAATGTTTTGTGAGAGATTTGTTTCAATTAGTATTATGGAAATCCGGGTACTTGTTTGATGTAAAGTCGAATAATTGCGACGGCAAAATATTTGATACAAAAAAAAACAATGAAACCACGAAAAATACAAAAAAAAAGTTTTATTTTAAATTTTAAATGAGGAGGTACTTAGTTCTAGTAAATTATCTTACGTTGAACGAGCCCAATAAAATGTCAAGACAAATAAAAATAATGTTAATAATAAATGTGTGTGTATAATAGATTATATTAAAATTTCAAACTCAAACACATTCTAAAAAACATTACAAACAAAACAATTGTACTTAAATCTTTATTTATCAACACCCATATACTAACTTGGAGGGATCATCACACTTGTACACGTAGAGATCGTGCGCGCCGTCCCGCAGCGTGGCGCCACTCGCCTCCATGAGACGCGCGAACGAGAACCCAAACAACTTGCGCTCATTCTTATCACGTGCTGAAAATGCATTTATTATTAGTTTTTGCTTTGTTCGTGGCGACTACGTTGATAGATAGTAGACTCTGTCTTAATCCTTGATATAAGATAAGCTATTTCTATTTTGAACTTCACAAACAGTTCTACAATTTATAGTTTATTAGCGAAACTAAAGCCGGTATGTTATAACAGTTAGTATGAAATAGATAGTCGATCACTTGCTTTGTGAAAAATCTATCCCACGGGAACCGTATATTTTTCCCGGAATAAAATATAAACTATGTGCTATTCTAGACTATAATCTATCTCTGTGCCAAACTTCATACCGATACTACCTAGGACTTCATAATTTATAGCCATTTTTGTTAAAACTAGCGATTTACTGGAACCCAACAGTAGCCTATGTGTTAATCCAGATCATAGTGCATCTGTGTACTAAATTTCGCCGAAATCCGTCCAACCGTTTTAGCGTTAAGAAGAAACAAACATACACGCATACATACTAAATTACGTATTTACAATAATAGTCCAGTATACTGTTTTCGAAAGACATGTGAAGTCCGCCAACCCGCACTTGACCAGTAACCCAATACTAGCGTGGTGGACTATGGCCTGATCTCCCTCGTATTGAATTGTCCGCGCCCACCAGTGGAACCTTAAAAAAAGGCCTGAATACATACATACAGTACACTGTAACAGTGTATCAAAACTTACTTGAACAATGTCTAAATTCGATCCTGACGTGCGCATGCGTGAACGTCTCCAGCGGGACAGTCAGCCGCAGCTGCTCACCCCACGCCGGGCTGTTGTTGTGGTACAGTACTAGTGACTCGTACGATGTCGACCCCGTACCACTGGCTCCCCATACACAATCCTGTAAATTAGAAATATTTATTTTATTGACCTCGGTGGTTTATTGGCTAGGATATACGGCAACAGATGCGTTGGTCTTGAATTCGATTGTTCGGTTTTATTATAGTTTTTCTATTAATATATTGTGTAATAACCCAAAGTTGAAAAGTGGACGGTATTTTAAACCCGTGCCTGGGAGAGCACGTCTCGCGTTCTGCGCCTTAACTCTCACCGGTTGTGTCGAAGTATCGTCCCATCGGACTTTGAGAGTAAAAATGAATAGAGAGTGCACTTGTGTCTGCGCGTATACTTTGCACTATAACATCTCCTGCGCATCTGCGCAGGCCATCTGGCTAGCCTCAGTAAAATTGGCCGCCGTGGCCAAAGTCGATCAAGAGGACATCAAATGTTTATTAAAATTTGAGTCTAGTTACACAGAGCTATTATTATATGAAGACCATGAGGTTGCAGAAATCGCCCGGTCGTTACTAAATATTGGAATTTAGGGTAAAGCTAATGCAATATTGCATCACCAATCTTATTAATAAAGTAATATTAATTATTATTATTACATCATAGCTTCAATCGAGAAGAGTCTTAAATAATTATATGGTAATTGTAATGTATTAAGTTAGTTCCCAAGGAGAGTTGACGCCAGGCAGGCACGCGGCCAGTCGTAAAACTTTTGCCAAATCCTATCCTATATAGCAGTATGGAAATTGTACTGCGCCCGACCCCAAGTAATTGGGAAATGGTCAGGGAGATGATGATAATGTAGTGTATTAAGTTTAGTTTAATTATTTTAAGAACATCGATTTTTTCAGAACTCTTGCTGTAGCTAACTTTAATATTCCCTTTCATTTAAACTATAAACCATTGAGTAAACTTGTAAATAAAATACAAATCTAGTTATATCAAAGTTAATACTTCATAATTTCCCAAAATAACTTGTTATTTTCTTGTTATAATTAACGACGGAAAGAAAATGACAAGGTAAGTTTTTATTTAATTTGGCAATTAAATAATTAAGTTTTGATTTGTTTAAATATTAATTTCGCTATACAGTAAACATATTTTAGAGAGCATTAAAAATATTAATGAATAAATATTAATTATTCTTCATTCTCTTCATAGGCTTTAAGGATAAGTATGAGGACTAGGTACTTTTTATTATTGTTATTTCCAAGAATAGGGGAGTTCTTTTATAAAACAATAAAGGAAAAATATAAAATAATTGTATGTGACATAGTATATTTTTAACTGCTCCGCTCACATTGTACATCGATAAACATAGTATGACATTCAGAGATAATAGAGCTTTCTATCAGTAAACAAAATATAATCAATTCTATAATTCTATAGACTAACCATAACAAATAAATAAATCTTACTTTTTTATAACAGATATTACGTATAAAGAGCAGAATAACTATTTAAGAAAGAAACAAAATCGTTTGTGTGTACTTATGTACGCACGTAACTCGTAAGAAGTTATACTTCTTTGGCGTAACAGAACAAAAATAGCTAAAGATTTCATCCGGTATGTCACAACTCTGTCTGTAAAAGGAATGCAGCTAACTTCATCGTGTCGGTTTTTGCTGTCGGTGTGCGCGCGTCGTAAAAATTTTACTCTCATTTTTTTTCAAACGTGTCAAAAGAAGTATAACTTCAAAAATAAAAAAAATAAATAAAAATATCAGTCTCATCACTATTCCATATCATGTAAGTGGACACCAAGACGTATGATAATTTTTATTACTACTTAAAAACATTAATGACTCGTTATCAGAAGCGTAATGGGTATAATGAAGATATGTTTAAACAGTAGCAGCGGGGGTTCGGAGATAGAAATTACATCGTAATTGGTCACGTAGTGGTTTTTACTCAAGATGTTTAAATAAGTACTTAAATAGTATCATAGTGATAGCGTAATTGCTAATTACATACTAAAATGCATAGCTAATGTTTAAAGTATCTTAATCGAAATCTATAGATACGTTTAATACGTAATTTTTAATCGACCGACTTTACCTACTTTCAAAGGTACTGTCAAATTTTGACAAAGACTTTTATAATTAATATTTTATATATTTTATAATTGAAGGTCCCACTATTAGAGTACTTTAGAAAAAAACACTATCATATTATTGATACTTCGGTTTTGTTTACGACAATTAGGCTAAATCTGGTATTCACAATTTATTTTTTTAAATCAAAATAACTTTGGAACCACTAAAAATGGGGGGTTTGGAAGGTTAAGCCGATTGTTATTAAGGTCATTGACCTCCCACTAACTTTGATCCATCAGTCGTGTTACACACTGTGTAATGTCCATCGATGTCGTGGACATTACCTAGTTTATAAAAACATTATTTTATCTTTATCAAACCATTATACATATATTCGTACAATGATAACTTTATTTGTAATGGCTATATAAATAATAAATTTATGTATCTAGGACAATAATTCTCACTCAGCAAATTGTGAACATTAAATAATCGATTACTACTAGACAATTCTTGATCTATTTTTGTTATTGCTTCTATTACGTTATTCTTAATCGATAGCTAGTGGGATATAAATAATATGTTAAAATGAAATCTGAACTAATAACATTAATGAGGGTCATTGCGCATGCTCGGGTACTGTCGCTTTGGGAAACCAGAGATCAAAAGAAGTTAAGTGTTCTATATTATCATACATTTTTTTGCCCAAAAGTATTATTGGCTATATTGAATGAACAAAATTTTTTTTCTCATAATTATTTGACACCTAAATTAAAACTCACGTGTGTAATATATTTTTAGAAAAGTTTGTCACTTATTCATAATGTAAGAACTCAAAGGATTCGAGTGAAATTGGGGTAAAGATGTATGGATGGAGATGAGATATTTTTTTATCATATTTTCCTACATACGATGTCCATAATATGATTGTTTATTTTTAAAGAAAATTATGTAGCTTGTTTAAAATATATAATACGGCAATTTTAGATTGACAGTGAAAAATAGGTTAGCCCCAAAATTTACATAATATTTTATCCTCGCTGTGAGTCTCGCTACATTTATGTAACAAGGATGAACTCTCCCCAACTGCATAATACGTATATTTCTTTGTCAACTTGTTTCCATATTTTTAGTTCGAATTTTACACAATTTAGCTTTTTATTTATTTTAATTATTTTCTTATTTTAAATAAAATATATATTTTTTAAATTATTTTTTAATCTAAACTTCAAAACACTACTACTTACACTAATGACTTGTCCAGTACTGTCATGTACACTGACAGTTGCTAGAACATTCTTCGCGGTGCTTTTACCGCCCCTTTCGAACTCCGCCCTATCCAAAGTGAGATAGAGATCGTTCCTGACATCTCCCGGCATTATCACGTCAGGGAAGCCCCGTTTCGCTGTAACTGTGGCTCCTGAGGTCACAGCTTCTGCTATGCTACCGGAGTTTGTTAATAGCCGAAGAGCTACTACTATTCCTGAAGGGAGAATTTTAAATGTTAATTCATATTGTAAAGTTAAAATAGAAAATTAAAATGATTCATATTTAATTGAGTAATAAGTTTGTGAAAGATCATTTTATCTAAATTATATTTTATAAAAGTTTTATATTTGATTCCTACTAGATATTTATGAAATTTTTGAAAAAAAAATGTTAGAAGTTTTTTTATCAAAAGATGCTTTAAAAGTTAAAAACATGATTTATTTCTAATATTATGAATACTTATAATTAATTCCATATTTGTAATATTTTGAATAACTAAATAACGCCCTCATTCATAAATACATTTTGTTTCCTGTATTACCAGTTAAGTACATTCAAAAAGATAAAGACAAAATTAGCTCTTACCATAATTAGGTTGACCTGGTAAAATGTTGCACTTGTTTGTTTGTTTACGAATCAGCATATCATGGAGTTGGTGGAAATCTTTTTCTTCGCATTGATATACCTGAAAAAAAAAATATTTTAAGAAATATATGAATTTTTAAAGTTAAAGCACAATTATTGTTAAGTAATACAATAATAATAAATATTTTTCCTTATAGTTTCTGTGGAAATTTAAAATAAAAATCAATGTTCTGTACATAAAATATAATGCATGTACAATGCGTAAGTAACTTTTTGTCGATTATCTCAAAAACTATATAAACTCTAAAACTAACTAAATATTCTATGTCAACATCGTAGAAAAGTCATCACATACCTTAAAAGTGTATTCTTTTTCGATAGTCTGTGGTTCGGCTTGTCTCAGAAACTCTGATAACGGTAATACCCCAGCACCCAAAGGCCTCCTTGCTACAGGGCCTCGTCTTTCCCCCGTGCCACTACCGCCTGCACCCGACCAGCGCCCTACACGTATCACCCACGCGACGAGCCATAGCTCGCGCGATAGATCTGTACTTGATAGGTCCTGCGAAAGTTTAGAAAGTAGTTGTCTATACTAACTAATATTATGGAGGTAAAATTTGTGAGATTGTGAGTTTCTGACGTTGTAAAGTGTAATCTCTGGATCTACTGAGCCAATATAGATGAAATTTGGTAAGAAGATAGTTTGAGACCCTGGGAAGGACAAAAGATACTTTTTATCTCGGAAATCATTACTTCAGTGGGTGAAAATGGGGATGTAAGTTTGTATAGGGAACCAACCTAGGGACGAACCCGAGCGAAGCGAGGGTGAGTTGCTAGTTTTTATATATAAATACTAGCGACTTAACATCGCTTCGCCAAAGTATTTCCTTATGCATCAACACTATGTATTACTCCATAGGTTTTAGTTTATCTGTACACTGAATTTCATCCAAATCCATTTTATATAAAACTATGTTTTCGAATTTTTCGCGGTTTTATTTTGACCAATTTCAAATTGATTTATTCCTTTGCATACTTGAGAGGACCCAACTCATGTATAATAAAAAAAAAATGGGTGCCTGTAAACTCTTAAGCGCGATTGAAGTAAAACTTCATTGGCAAATATCGCAATTAAATTAAAACAAATCAATAATTAAATAAGGCATATTAGGCACATTACAATAATAATATATATGTATTTATAGACCATATACGGAAAGAATATAATATGATATATCTTTCAGACAATGGTTACCATGTCTTATCTTAAAATGTACCTATCTGTCGTGACGCATTTCAGTTTCATCAAGTTTCAAATCACAATGATTCTAAAAAAGTTTTACTTCAATTAAGTACCACAAATCATTTATGTATCTACCTTAGATATACCTACTACTTACGCTTTTCGTGTCAAAATAAGTACGCTAAAGAACTCGTGTCAATATGTAATAGGCATAGATAGGTATGTACCTAAATAAATATTTGTTAATTGTTAATGTATGTGACATTGAGAGAATTAGATCGTATTCTGTCTGTTTGATTCCACATGACGAGATAATGAGTGATCTAATTTCACAGATTAGGTACTTATATATGCAGGTAAATTTAAAAAGATAACATATCTCCAGTAGCTTTGCAGTTTTGAGAAAGCCATATCTCTGCTTTATTAAGATTTTTTTACATTACCTCTAACCTACATTTTATATTACAACATTATACAGTATAATGATTATGTTGCATCACTCCATGGCTGCTTACCGCAAAACCTTATTTGTACATAATTTAGATTTCTATAGTTACGTCTACGGTTCATCAAATTGATGAACCTACTATACTATGATGATACTAACTGCGCACTTAATCTTATCATGAATTATCTTAATAAAGGCCATAAAACGAATTATAAACAAGCACATAGAACTACAAATGAAGGCTGTTTGATAAAAAAATATTGTTTCATTTATAAAAAGGCAAATATTTTAAGTATACTCACAGCAAAAAGTGTACTATTTGCATGTAGTCTATCCACATAGTTGGAGAACCCATCCCTGGCTATCCGTACCCTGAACCTTTCCGAAAGAGGCTGAGCTCGTCTCGCATCGTGTAACCATAGTAACAGTTCTGCCTCATCTCCCCCCGCAGTATGACCAAAGTCCCGCATACTGCACATAAGGTGAGATTGCACAGTGGTTGCTGTGATTACATTTGAATTGTTTGTCAGTGTGCCAGAATTGAAGCTGCTCCCGGAACCACCAGCACGACGTAACGTACCACGCCACTGAAATTATTACAAAATTTTATTTATTAGATACCAGCAACGTACCCTTGCTTCACTCGGGCGCATCTCATGGTACCCACCTAATGGTTAAAGGTAAAAAGTAGCCTAAGTGTTACTTTAGGTCATTTTATCGGAATAAAGAATAGGACTCGACGGTAAAGTAGCTTTCTATTAGTTAAAGAATTTTTAGACTAGGATTAGTAGTTTTAGAGTTACCTGCTACTAACTAACTTTGGATGGCCAAACTAACTAACTTTACATCTTTATAATATTAGTATAGAATATAGATAGTATAGACAAGCCCGCCCCTGCACTAATCAGTTCTATAATCCTAAATTACTTTTAAACATATAAGTTGTATATATTTTTGTAATCGCCTCTTAAAAACCTGTATTTTAGGAACCCACTGTATTGATTCGAATGATTTTTTTTCAGTCATACTAATTTTTGAAACACCTATCTAAAGACAAGTTTTTGAGACGAATCGATTCGAGACGAAGATACGAGGTAATAAAAAAATTTACAAACATACCTACATAGAAAAATATAACCCTTCCTTGGCAGTCGGGTAAAAAATAATGTATAACTCTTAACCGCTTTTTACGTCATTGTTATAAAGAGGGACTGTCCCATATAAAGTTATTAACATGTTTCATGAAGATTTTCATTCTTTAATTACCAATAATTTAATAATATGTATAAATAAATGAATATATAATGCACGAATAGTAAGCAAGATACACATATACCATAAGAGAAAATAAATCCAGGACATGTAAATTACACTACAAATATCGTAGTACGTTTTATAGCGGGTGGCATACTGCACTGTGGTATAAGAAATATGACCTCTTGGATCTCATGAACGACATAAAATATCTATAAAAAGAGCAATGCTGCGCGTGCGCAAGATATGCTTTGTCAATGTAAGAGGATATAGTCAATCATATCAGTACAAAAGCATAAAGTGCAGAATTGACTTATGATTAACGTACCAAGTGACTCAGAAAAGTACAAACACGGCATTGCCATTTTTATGGCGGATCTAAATATGGCAAATATAACTAGAGTACGTAGTGATAACATGAGACATTTGTTGATAGTATTTATATTACCTTTACGTAATAACAAGTATGAAATAAATGTAAGTAATATAAAAAATAATCTCACTATCTGCACACTAAAACTACCTACCCACCTACTAGTACATTCAATTGGATAAACATTTAATTCTTATTCAAAGCAACATCTGCCGACTATATCAGATTGCGGGAGGGTCGACAGAGATTTTTTGAGTATAATACAAGTTGTTTTTGACTTGTAAATTGTATTTAAAGCTTTAATATTTTTTCTATTTATTTTTTTTTAAATTAAACAGCATGAAAATCTGAAAATAAAAATTAAACTATAAAAAAAACCGAAAAATTTAAATTTTGTCAAATCTTATGATGCGATAATTGTTATCTTATAAATTAGTCTTATTATGTTTTGTAACCAATAATAAAGTTTTTATGTACAATATAGGTACAAACATATATTATTCCGACATTCGCTAACGAGAAGTAAAATCAGCGTTTGCTTTTAAATATGCAAACGAGGTCTGTAAAATATAAATAAGCGTACACAATTTTTTATGCTCTTAGCATATCAATGACCACCTTGTGTCGTAGTTGCCGACTGAAGACTAAAATCCTCCTTGTTATTCCATTAAATATAAACTTGCTATATATAATATACCTTCGTCATTCAATTACAATTCCATATACATACCTATATAGCTAAAAAAGTTTTTATACAACCAGTGTCAATGTTTCTATAAGATGGACATATGATATGTTCATTCGAAAAAAACTTAATCCCACGTTAGAGAGGTACCTACACAAAAAACTAATGATATAAGATACATACTGCTGCAGCACGTTCCGCACTCTCAGCATGTACTCTGTACAACTCGACTAGACTTGTGTCCTCCGGGTCAACGGCTTCAGCGCCTCGACGAGGTACCAACTCCAAACCAAGCTTTCTGCAACAAGAAATAGATAGGTACATCAATTACTTATTTATAGATAAAGTTTTTATTACTATATATAATTAACACGAGAAATGATCTAAATATTATATAGAGAACTATATTATTGTTATTATGGGTTTATCTTACTAACGTTATAAATGTGGAAGTTTAGATGTTTGGATGGATGTTTGTTAGTCAATCACGCCAGAACGGCTAAGCGAATCTGGATGTTTGGCACAGAGATAGATTATAGTCTGGAATAGCACATAGGCTACTTTTTATCCCGGAAAAATGCACGGTACCCGTGGGATAGATCTGTAGTTGTTTTAGTTTCTCATAATTATATATTTTCTCATATGTATCAGTATTTGTTTAGGTATACTGTTGAAACGTGTTAATATGCACGTAAATGAATAAATTCTAAAAGTATAGTTATATATAAAGGAAGACAAATTATAAAGGATACAATTTAAAAAATGGGTTTCTATGAAAACCATACAATTTTGTTGCATCATTATTTGTAACAGGAATATATTGTTTTAAAAAGTTCTGCTTGAAGACATTGCCTATAGATATTTCGCGGTAAAAAACGAAGGCTTGCAACGGTGAATATTTTAATGTGAATCACGAGATTCTAAGAACTTATTATGTACCTATCTAAAATGTTGAGTAAAATTTAACTTTCTTGCATCAAGAATATATTTTACAAAATGTAACCGGCAAATAATTTTGCATATAGTGTAATAAAATCTATTCGATTTAATATATTATATTAAGCTTTGATATATATATATATATATATATATATATATATATATATATATATATATATATATATATGATTAAAAAGCTGCAAAATTTTATTCAATTCAATGATTATATTATATAATTATAATCATTGAACCGATAGCTAACTAGTATTTTAAACGCCATCAAAGATCAGGCTTTCAATCGGCTTAGGTATTTACGTAACAACAGCAAACAGTGATTCACGACGTCAAAACTTTCATTGTAGGTTGTTATTAATTTCTTAGAAATTTACCTGGAGGTGTTAAATATTTTTTGAAAATCTTATTGAAATAAACATTATTATCGATACCGAGGCCGAATCTGTACTTTATAGAATTTTTGTCTGCCTGTCTGTTACCGCATCACAGAAAAACCACGGGAGGGATTTTGATGAAATTTGGTATGGTGATAGCTGGCTATCCGGGTCAACATATAGGATACTTTTAACCGCGGGAAAATATCTTATTTATGAGAAAAAATACAAAAACTGCAATGTAAGAGTATATCTATGTAAAACCTAAGAATTTGGTTTTTGGTCATCTCAACGCGGGCGGAACCGCGGGCAATGCTAGTGTTTAAGTACAACCTAAATTCATTTATTTATACACTGACATTATAACGCACAGTTTTCCACGGCATCTAGAAACATGAAATTTTGCACAAGAGTTACTTATGTAACGAAGGTGAGCTTTTACGAAGGGTTTTTAAAATTGAGGCATTAATGAAGTTATATAGCGGATAAAACTTTGTATAGAATTTCGTCATTTTAAAGTTTGAAAACTTCGAAGTTGGCTCTCTAAAAGTTGTGAATGGGAAGTCCCATCGGGCATGCCTATGGTCGTCTTATATAAAACGCTAGGTATATAAGGCTTAACTTACATGTTTCAGACACACTAATGTTTCGCAACACGCGTTGAATTCTTTCTGCAAATCAAGTTATCTGTTGCAATATTAAAGTAAGTTGTTGCCTTGATCGATTTTTTAATTAAAATTAATTGGCTTTGAACTTTCCATTATCTTATATTTTTCTTACATTTTACACAACCAACTCTAAAGAAGTCAATTTGTCTTTTTTGTTTGTACGTAGATATATCTGTGACGGTAAAGTTGTTATTATTTTTATTGTCTTACCTATTTATATTCAAATTTAATAGAAAGCTACATTTACAGAAATCAATAGGCTATTTTATCAACGTACCATCGGAGGGAACTATGTAGTCGTTTTTAAAAATATGTGGCACTCCTCTATTTTCTTTTAAATATCAATAATGAAAAATTAAAAGTAACAATCAATAGAGAAAACTAAAAATAGAAAAATAAAGCTTTCGAGGGAAGGAAATATGATATGGTAGCTACCTTTCATCCCGGCCCTTCTTACCATGCGATGCATTTGTTTATTAATACAATTTGTTTGGAATACTTTAGCGCAATTGTAATTTAACTAAACATTTATTTTAATTATAATAGTCTATTGTCTCGTCTAATTCTAGTGTAATAAGAAGAAAAGATAAAAAGCATAAATTATCTCTACATATAAATAAATAAATATGTTGGGACGTACACACACAGCACCATCTAGTTCCATGGTAAGCTACGAGGCTGTTATGGATACCAGATAGTTGATATATACACTACATATATATAACTGTAAATACATTAATATTATAAATATAAAGACCCATAACTGGAGTACAAACGTTCATGTTCATCACACAAATGAATGCCACCAGCGGGACTCGAACCCGCGACCGTTCGCACAGCAAGTAGGGTCACTACAAACTGAGGAAAAGTTTCGTCATATATAATCATCATGTGAATAAAACATAATATATACAACTAAATGTTTAAGATTATAGAAAATTAAATATTTTTTGACTGACTAAGATAAGATGTTACACACTTGGTGTAAAACCCAACTCAATCAATCTCAACAAGTCTTTTCGAACACGAAATGATATACGATAATAATAACTTATCCTATAAATATCACTACATATTATTATAAAACGAAGTCCTCCGCCGCGTCTATCTGTGTCTGTCTGTTCGCGATAAACTCAAAAAGTACTGCACCAATTTTCATGCTGTTTTCACCAATGAGTAGAGTGGTTCTTGAAGATGGTTTTCATATAGGTATAATTTGTTTAATTTTTGTATACATTGGCTAAAATATAACGATTTTTGTTGGAGGTGTCCGAAAAAAATAAGCCGTCTGGGAGCTTTAAACGAAAACGCTGCCTAAATAAACCCTTTGAGATATAAAAAAATAATGTATGATGGAATTGTGTATCTTATATCGGTCTACAGAAAAGTCCGCGATGGCATATGTCTATTTCCATTTTAACATACCTACTATATCCATTTTAATACTTAAAAAAATGACAATTATAATGCGGTAATGTAAAAGCTATTTGCACAAAAACGGTATTAATCCTTATCATCCATACTAATATTATAAATGCGAAAGTAACTGTCTGTCTGTATGTTACCTTTTCACGCTTAAACCGCTTAATCGATTTAGATGAAATTTGGTATAAGTATAGTTTGAGACCCTGGGAAGGACATAGGATAGTTTTTATCCCGGAAATCATCCCTTAAGAGGGTGGAACTTTGTATAGGGAATCATTCAATTCTGAAGTAAGGGGTATAGAACTCATCTTAATCTATACTAAGCGTCAAAATGTACTTAGGGACGAACCCGAGCGAAGCGAGGGAGGAATAAAATAACTTTTTAATTTTTTTTTACATTTTCATGGAATACATATAGATTTCTTTAATAGTTAAAATGCGTGACAGTATACCGTTTTAAAGTTCGCTGTTACATATGTATGTGTGTATGTATATAGTAGAGGCTAAACTAAAAAGCTTTGACAGAATCTCGTTATAAATTTCGTTTCACGTGCTATGCAGAAAGCTCGCCAAACCAGTTATTCCAGCGACACTGACAGACTTCAAACTAGTCATTTCCGTATCCCCAATATATATTTTTCATAAAATATTACATTTCCCAAACAGTACCTACAACATATTTAAATATCTCATATAATTTTTTAAGTTCTAATACAGGTGCGTAAACTGAATATTATGGACAAAATAAAATAATTTACGCGGACAAAGTCACAGGCGGTAGGTAGTATGTTTATACATATACTAGCGGTTCACCCTCGCTTCGCTCGGGTTCACCTCTCGGTAAATTTTTCCGGGATAAAAAGTTGCCTATGTGTTATTCCATACTATAAACTATCTCTGTGCCAAATTTCATCCAGTTCCGTTCAGCCGTTCTGGAGTGAAAGAGTAATAAACATCCATACATACTCACAAACTTTCACATTTAATTTAATATTAATAATAATACGGATGTACTATGTAAGTATAATAAAATTTTCAGAGGGACAAAGGCGCATTTGGCAAGCGGACTGGATTTGGTCTACTATGGCCTGATCCTCTTCGCAAGCAATGCATTCGCAGCGACGTTAAAAGAGCTAAATTATATATACATAAGTACATATAGTCTTATGTTGTATATTAATTACATACTAAGCAATTTATGTTTGACCGTCGCTTTAAATGTAATAAATTCAAATCCAGCCAAATCTAGTTTAGATTTTCGCCTGTACAATACTTACTTGGCTGATTTTTATATGACACGAAAAAAATTGCTACGTTTGTAAAAAACTCCGTATAAAAGTTAAAAACGGTGGGAACCACACAAACGGTTGGGGCTATTCAAGAGACTAAAAAAAAAGTAGTATGTTTTTAATTCATATTAATAATATGCAGTGTGTAATCTTGTTCCAGTGGCAAGGTGATCGCTTGGAAAACCAAGTGAAGCGCATTCAAATCTCAGCTAACGCACCTCTGATACTTTTATGAGCTAATCATTTTCAACATTACTATCGCTTCCTAATATAGTGAAGGAAAATACTGTGAGAAAACCTGCATGTCCAAAAGAACGAAACTGGTTTTCGAAAGACTCACAAGCACTATGACTGATTTCCCCCATGAGCCCTTTGCCAAAATTGGGACGTTAATAAAGTTTGTATGCATCTATACAAATAATTAGTAATTTTTAATATTTAAGAATTTGCAACTCTGAGTGATTAATGCATTAAATCAATTTTTTAAGGATTCTACTTATATTTTTTATATATTAATAATAATTATTAACAACTAGGTGATTAGTTATAATACAAATTTAATAATAAAGCCTATATTTTAATATTGCTTATAATATATATAGTAGGTATGCAAT